AGAATTAAAGTCACAGTCTGCACTCTATCTAAAAATCGTCTGACGTTAAGAATGGAACATCGCGGTCCAGCTTATCCAAGTCACTAATCAATCCTAAATGTAACCAAACCCAGGGAACGGCTGGAGTTAGAACCCATGGAGAGTGAGTCGTAAAACCCGTTCCGTGGTTTGTTTACAGTCGTGTTATGACGATTTTGTGAGTAGTTATCACGCTTCCGTAAACAACAGAACGGAATCTTAGCACACTAGGATAATATCACATTTCATCAGGCAGCTGAGTGTAGCCCTAACAACAACGTTGCTGAGAAACTCCACACACACACACAGTGATGAAGAAGAGAGGCACGCTCGAGCAGGCTTTAATTGAAACAACGATTATTTCTGTGTAAAGCTCTACACAGAACGAAACCTTGCCTCGATTAAAGCTTCTTCTTGAAGAAGTGAAGGAAGGAAAAGTGAGAGAGCGCCAGAGCCAGGAGGGGTTACCGTGGCTGTAGAATAACAGAATGGTAGAAATCAGACAAGAAGGCGATGACATCAGAAGAATGGAATGGTAGAAAGCAGACAGGAGGGGTAGCTATTGCTAATGGAGAGCAGGTCAAGGCTGAGGGAGAAGGTTGGTGCAGTGTAGGGCACACAGAGACGTAGACAGCAGGCTGGGGTCCAGGCAGTATGCTGCAGAGCAATGGAAGGCAGGTAGCACGCTGTGGAGCAGTGGAGGGCAGGCTAGGATCCAGGTAAAACACTGCAGAACAGAGGAGGGCAGGCTGGGGTCCAGATAACACGCTGCAGAGCAAGGTAGGGCAGGTTGGGGTCGAGGGAGCATGCGTGGGGTACGGTAGGACAGGCTTGGGCCCAGGGAGCAGGGAAGGGCACGTCAGGGTCCTGGGAGATTGCTTAGGGGTAAGAGGGACAGGCAGGCCGGTCCCAGCCGAGCAACCTGAGGGTAGAGGAGGGCAGGCCGGGATCCAGGGAGCAGGCAAGGGGCAGGGAAGAGTAGACAGGGACTTGGGGAGAGGTCTTGAGGAAGGGGAGGGCAGACTGGGGTCGAGGGAGCAGGTTCTGCGACAAGCAGGGTCAGTGGAGCAAGAACGAGGCGCTGGTGGAGATTCCGAACCATGGTCTGCCGGGCAAGGAACGTAGGGCTGGGATTAAGGGGCAGAGAGTGCAGGGCTGAGATTACAGAGCAGAAAGTGTAGGGCTGGGATTACAGTGCAAAGAGTACAGGGCTGGGGCTAAAGGGCAGGGAGTTTTGGGCTGGGATTACAGGGCAGGCATTACAGGAAAGGGAGTGCAGGGCTGGGATTACATGCCAGGGAGTGCAGGGCTGGGATTATCGGGCAAGGAGTTCAGGGTTGGGATTACAGGGCTAGGATTACAGGCAAGGAGTGCAGGGCTAGAATTACAGGGCAGAAAGTGCAGGGCTGGGACTGCAGGGCAGGGAGTGCAGTGCTGGGATTACAGGGCAGGGAGTGCAGGGCTAGGATTACAGGGTAGGGAGTGCAAGGCTGGGATTACAGGGCAGGGAGTGCAGGGCTGGGATTACAGGCAGGGAGTGCAGGGCTGGGATTACAGGGCAGGGAGTGCAGGGCTGGGATTACAGGGCAGGGAGTGCAGGGCTGGGATTACAGGGCAGGGAGTGCAGGGCTGGGATTACAGGGCAGGGAGTGCAGGGCTGGGATTACAGGGCAGGGAGTGCAGGGCTGGGATTACAGGGCAGGGAGTGCAGGGCTGGGATTACAGGGCAGGGAGTGCAGGACTGGGACGGATCATACAACATCATACAATGTGAGTTAGCGTGGAGAGAATTAGGGAGGGAAAGATGGAAGTTGAGCTAGGAGAGAGCGCTTGTAGACGGCAGTAAAGCCGAGAAAGCCGAAGTAGAGGAGATGGGTGATAATAATAATAATAATAATAATAATAATAATAATAATAATAATAATAATAATAATAATAATTTTATTATTATTATTATTATTATTATTATTATTATTATTATTAGTATTATTATTATTATAGGGAAAGAGCTAAGTCCGTAGCAAGAGGTGAAGGAATAAATGGAAGTGAACGAGAATTATTATATTTCACGATGAGCTAAACCCTTATGGACCATTCATCTCATGCGTTACTGAAGGCTCGATCCTCCATCCGCTGTATGTGACCGGGTCTGTGAATTATCTGGTATGAAGCACTCACTGAGTGGAGATTTCAACGAGTTAGTAACGAGGAATCTTCATTCGGTACAGTAAGATATTAATACCACATTATTGAACAAGTTTATGTGTAAAATGGAAAGCAGTGACCACACACACACACACACACACACACACACACACACACACACACATATATATATAATATATATATATATATATATATATATATATATATATATATATATATATATATAATATATATATTACACGCATGTACACATTAGTATATACACAGAGGTTCTAAAATTTGTAAAATAAAGAAGAACACAGTCAAGAATGTGGCGTCGTAAATCTACAAACTGGACTCCGAGAGACCTGGTACTGACTCCGCTCCCGGTCTGTCGCGACCTTATAGAGACTAGTGGTCAGACCAGTGCTGAGATTCACTCCCTTCATGTGTTGTCTGCCGCAGCCGACACACCCGGGAACACGCCGTGTGTTGTCTGCCGCAGCCGACACACCCGCAGTCACTCCGTGTGCTGTCTGCCGCAACCACCACAACAGGGTCCACTCCATGTGCTGTCCGCCCAAAACATTAGCTGAGCAGACCGACAGCTATTGTAACCAACAATATATGAGATGTTCGATGGTCATCGGTACGCTTTGTATTGTAAACAAGAGCGAGGCTGAAGTTCATGATCAAACCTTTTTGCTGTGTGACACTTACGGGATTGTCGCTTCCAAAGTAATAATAATAATAATAATAATAATAATAATAATAATAATAATAATAATAATAATAATAATAATAATAAATCTGTAACAACAACAACAGTATACAAGTGAAATTATGGTTGGAACTCCGTAGAAATATATTAACCCCCCCCCCAGTAGTTCGTTGAACTTTGGTGAGAATCTCAGAGATGGCGTGCTCTGAAGGATGCCATTTATATTTCAAGGTGGTAAGTCTGTATACCGTGTGTTGCAAGGGTTAAGGAGAGTCTATACTGAGTGTAGGAAACGTTAAGGAGAGTCTGTATGCTGAGTGTAACAAGGGTTAAGGAGAGTCTGTATGCTGAGTATAGCAAAACTTAAGGATAGTCTGTGTGTTGAGTATAAGAAAGTTTAAACTTGTTTAAAGGGAGAAAAGTGCCTCGGATGCTGTATGACACTACACAAACAGTAGTGGAACTGGTTGTGTTAGTGGTGGTGGTACTAGTGGTGATTGTGGTGCTCGTGGTGGTGGTACTGGTAATGATGGTAATGCTGGTGGTTGTGGTATTACTGGTGCTGGTGGTGTTAGTGGTGGTGGTACTAGTGATGGTGGTGCTAGTGGTGATGGGGGAGGTGGTGGTTGTGGTACTAATGGTGCTGGTGGTGCTTGTGGTGGTGGTACTAGTGGTGGTGGTGCTAGTGGTGCTAGTGGTGATGGTGATTGTGGTACTAGTGGTGCTGGTGGTGCTAGTGGTGGTGCTACTAGTGGTGGTGGTGGTCGTCGTGGTGGTGGTACTAGTGATGGTGGTGGTGCTGGTGGTTGTTATACTAGTGGTGATGGTGGTGCTGGGGTGGTGGTACTAGTGGTGCTGGTGGTGCTAGTGGTGATGCTGGTGATGGTGATTGTGGTACTAGTGGTGCTGGTGGTGCTAGTGGTGGTGCTACTAGTGGTGGTGGTGGTGGTGGTGGTCGTGGTGGTGGTACTAGTGATGGTGGTGGTGGTGCTGGTGGTTGTTATACTAGTGGTGATGGTGGTGCTGGGGTGGTGGTACTAGTGGTGCTGGTGTTGCTGGTGGTGCTGGTGGTGCTGGTGGTGCTGGTGGTGCTGGTGGCGCTGGTAGTGTTGGTGGTGCTGATGGTGCTGGTGGTACTAGTGGTGATGATGGTGCTAATGGGGGTGGTGGTACTAGTGGTGATGCTGGTGCTCGTGGTACCGGTGGTGTTCGTGGTGGTTGTACCAGTGGTAATAGTGGTGTTAGGGTGGTGGTACTAGTGGTGCTGGTAGTGCTAGTGGCGGTGATGGTACTAGTGGTGATGGTGGTACTGGGGGTCCTGGTGGTGGTAGTACTAGAGATGATGGTGGTGCTGGTGGCACTGAGGATACTGGTGGTGCTAGTGGTGGTGTTTACTAATGAAGATGATAGTGCTGGTGGTGATGCTACTAGTGGTAATGGTGGTGCCGGTCGTACTGGTGATACTGGTGGTGGTGGTGGTGGTACTGATCGTGGTGGTGCTAGTGGTGATGATGGTGCTGGTGGTACTGGGGGTACTGATGGTGGTGGTACTAGTGATGATGGTGGCACTGGGGGTACTGGTGGTGGTAGTATTAGTAGTGACAGTGCTGGCGGTGGTGGTATTAGTGGTGATGGTGGTGGTGGCACTATTGATGATGATAGTGGTGGTGGTACTAGCGGTGCTGGTGGTGCTAGTGGTACTCGTGTCACTCGTGGTGCTGGTGGTGGTGCTAGTGGTGTTGCAAGTGTTGGTTATGGAAGCTTGTGGTTCTGCTAGTGGTGGTACTGCTCGTGGTGGTGATTGTGGTGGTGATGCGCACTTTTCGGGGATTTTAGGTTGCCTGGGAAGGTGGTCGTGTTGATGATGGGGGAGAAGCAGGATCGTGGAGGAGGGAGAATAGGGTAGGGTGAAAGAAGGGCAGTAAATTGATGGAGGGGGGATTGAGGCAAGGTAGGGAGGAGCAGGGAGCAGGTAATATAGGAAAGCGTAGTGGGGGGAGTAAGGAAAGAGCGGAGGGCTTGTGGAGGAGGATAGGCTTTGGGGAGGGGATGGGTTGGGCAGGTTCTGGAATGGGTACTCGAAGGATGGGAGGTTATATACACAGGGCAGCAGATAGTCAGACAGACAGAAGGAAAACAGACATAAAAAAAAGTATGTCAGTGAATCAGGGGCCGTTGCCCCATCCAGGGTACTGTGTCAGGGCACGGGATGCTCTGGTCGGGGGCAGCAGCAGCAGCAGGGGCTCCTGGGACAATAATTATTGGAGGATACCACACCCTGGCGCCGCCACACGCACGCCTCCACCTGGGCAGATGGTGCAGCAGCAGCAGCAGTGGCGGAGGTGGTGCCCTGCCTGACCCCCACACCCCGCCGCCCTCAGGCGGGCCGCCAGGCCCCTCCCACGGTCACAGCCCCGCCCATGGTCACAACCCCTAACACCTTATTGGTCGGTGGGGTCACGTGATCTCGTGGGAGACATATAAAGGTGACGCGTGGCCGGGGCAAGGGTCAGACCAGTATACGATACAGAAGCCGACATGTCTGTGTCTGATTGGTACTTCCCCGTGTCGCATCCTGGCTACTCCAGCCACCTGGAACACAGCTTCATTGAACAGTTCGCCTGTCCCAGCCCGCCCTATACTACCGGATCTTACGCCTTGCCTGTTCAGTGCTCCAGTAACACTTCTTCTAAAGAAACCAATAGTTGGTCTACTTCTGAAGGAAGAAGTTCGTCAGATGGACGCCCCAGCCCCTCATGTTCTCCTAGCAGCAGTTGTGAGAGTGTAGAGGGCAGCTCGTCACACGGGTGGAACTCTAACATATCCGGGCCATCATCTTGGTCGTGGGGAGCCCCTGGCACTACTCACCCGGTTCTGGCAGCTGCTTCCAACTTCAACAGTCCAGAGTGCTCCTTGTCAGAGTCCCGCGGTCGTCAGGCTAAATGTCGCCGACGACCGCCTAAGATAGTGGGACGCGAGGTGATAAGGAAGCGTCGACTCGCAGCTAATGCTCGGGAAAGACGTCGCATGAACGGTCTTAATGACGCCTTTGACAAGCTTCGTGAACACATTCCAGCACTCAGTGGCGACCAGAAACTGTCCAAGTTCGAGACTCTACAGATGGCACAGACGTACATCTCGGCCCTAGTGGAGCTTCTGCAGTAGTCGAGGACGGTGAGAGAGAGTAACATCTGGTCAGCTGTCACGATGGTGTCGGCCTTAGACGTCTAACTCCCGTGAAGCTCAGTGCCACCGCGAGTGTCCAGTGCCGCCACTAATCAAGTGCCACCGCTACTCAGTATACAGTGCCACCGCTACTCAGTAAACTGTGCCCCCGCTACTCAGTGACTAGTGCTATCGCTTCTCAGAGGTTAGTGCCACCGCTACTTGAACAGAGCCAACACTGCTCCATGAACAGCGCCACTGCTACTCGGTAAACAGTGCCACCGCTACTCATTGAGTAGTTTCATCGCTACTCAGTGAATAGTGTCACCACTACTCAACAGTGCCACCGCTACTCAGTGACCTGTGGAGGTCTGTCCGAACAAGGATGAGGAGTGTCCAACCTATCCAGTGAATGGATGAGTGAGGACCTTAAATGTGTGTGTGCGTTTCATCTAGTGTCATGAAGTGCCCTGACTCCTAGTTTACAGGAGTGCCAGATGGAGCCCAGGAATGCCAGATGGAGAGCAGGAATGCTATATGGAGCCCAGGAATGCCAAACGGAGCTCATTAATGCCAGATGGATCCCAGGAATTGCCAGCGGAGCCCATGAGTACCAGATGGAGTCCAGGAATGCTAGGTGGAGCCAAGGAATGTTAGACGGAGCCCAGGAATGACAGATAAGTGAGTGGTGGAACTCTACAGTCGAAGTGTCTAGACCGACAGCACGGAAGCTCACTGGAAAGACGTTACCAAAAATTTGTACATTATTCATATAATCACAACTGGCTCAACTTAGTGTTTATCTGTACATATCACAAATGTATATATAAATATATAAAAATATATATAAAATGTATTACAAAATTAATTATTTTTATAATAAAACGCTTGAAGCTTTCACTCTGCCTCTCTCACATTCCTCCACTTAAACTTGGTCTTGTCAGATATAACATTTCGTAAATGTTGCATGAAAAATAAAGTAGAAATGAGTGATAATCTGCTAGCTTTTGTCATAGCCACCTGTACCAAAGGTAAACAAAACACTAACGTTTTTACTGTATGCTAAACAGCTCTTTTTATTTCTTAAAATAAAAGTCTGTCCATCACAATCAACATCAATGAAGATGATTGCTACTCTTAAGGAAAATACGTTTAAGTTTAAACTTTATAGCCCACAAAATGTTCAATGAAGAATTCTGCCAAGTGTCTAGACAGTATTTAATTATGCATCATTTTCTTTTGATAGTTTACTGAGGAAGATCTCCCTAAGTCACTCACCACCCCTCTATTTACGAAGATAATTTTATTGCGAAGAATTAGGCAAGATAATCGCAACCATAAACTTAGTTTAACATAAAACTCAACTCAAACAAGTCTTGATATAAATAACTGTAATTAAGTTACCAAGAAAAAAATATTTTGTGTAGTATGTCCAGTATTAAAATTATAAGTTATAACTTGAGAAGCCACTGATTTGAGGAATTGGAGCTTTTCTTCTCTTCCTTGGATCAAACCTGATTACCCCACTCACTCTTCCCGTTCCCCAGACACTGTACAGAATTTCCGCTTCTTCCTGATTTTAATGAGAATAAAATGGGCTCTGAAGGCTTTACTAAAAACTTAAATGAAATCTCCAGAGTGAAGGAGAAGTAACTGAGATTCGTAAAATAACTTTCTTGTGAAGAATAACTTAGATTAATAAAAAAAAAAACTCCCTCGTGAAGGAAAAAAAGCTTCCCAGTCGTGCCTTGGGCACGACTGGGAAGTTGTAATCAAGATGAGAGTAAAATTATGCTATCAGGCCCAACAGACTTGTATGTCACCATGCCACTAGTACCAGAAGACCTGTGTCTAGTAATCTACCGGGTTCACTAGACCTGTCACAAGGCCGCTGGAACTACATAGACCTATCTGTGCCCGGTAGAATGCCGGACATAAATAGCTCTATATCTCAGTATGCTACCTAAGGAAATAGGTGAGTATTTCCACAGTCCCTGAATCAGTAGGGTTATGTCTCTATACTACCGGACCCAGTAGCTCTATGCCACCAGGACCGGTTGAAACTCGTTTCATTCTACAGTGTGTGACTACATTAATCGATTCACCGTTTAACGAATACCGTTGGCGTGTTTCACTGCAAATATTACTTAAGTGACTTGAAAAGGTCAACGTCGTAGTTACTCATAGAAAATCATCAATAATTATTGGGCAAATCACTGTTATCTCAGCATTTTGATAGATACTGCTTGAAAGAAATATTTCCAATGGGAATTCAAAGTCTCTTTTAGCAGGCAAATTCTTGGTTAGACGAACTTTATAATTACAATGGAATATTATAAAGCCGCATTTTTCAAAAGTATTTTCGAATTACTACCTGTTGGCTATGTTGGTGTCAACTAATATTCCCAGGGACACCTCAGCTCAAGGAAAGTGTTCTTAGTTGATATATAATAAATATTACACCGTCACTTGCAGTAACTATTGCTATATATCCGTGGAAAGCGCGAAGCCCGCGAGGGTCACACAGCTCCCGGGGAACGGGAAGTAATGAGGAATGATGTAAAGAAAAGGAGGGTAACTTAGATTCGCTATATCAAGAGCATTTGGCCAGTATCAAAGCACTCTTGAAGGGAATCAAACAGGTTTACACATGAGGAAAATAAACAATTCGGTTTTTTTTTTCAATTAAACTCATATATACATAGTATACATAAATACACACTATACAAATCAGATCATCAATTCCAGTGATCTAAACACAATTCTGATGTTACTCTGTACTATCCTATTCTAAATTGCTGTAGGAGACTCAACTATGTTGTAAGTCTGTTGTTCATGGAGACATGGTGAGAGGATCGAAAATTAAGTTTGATCCGAGGAAAGTGAAACGTAGCTCCAGTTTCTTAGACCAGGAGCCGTTTACAGCATCAGCATCCTCTCTGGAGTACACGTTTAGGATTTAATATTTTTAGGTCGACATATCGACTTACGAATAAAATTGTTATTACCATTATAACCATGAGGAAGCGCTAAACCCGTAGGATTATACAGCACTCTTGGGGGGGGGGAGATGGAAGGTATTCAGGCTTAATTCAGGGAACTGAAGCACAGATCCAATTCCCTAGATCAAGAGCCCCTCACCAGCGTCAAGGAACCTTACGAATAAAAGTCCATCTCTTATCTTGATTAACAAGAAAAGGAATAAAAATGCCTTTGCGAGTAAATACTGTCTTTGTGCACATATTAATACACATATTAATACTAAATAACATTCATACACAACAAACAGATGAATAAAATCACAGAAAACAGCAGTCATTACAGCATTTAACCAAAGTACATATAAATAACTTTGAAAATATAATGTAACAGTTGGGTAAATAACATATACGAAAGAAAACATTAAAATGTCATATATTCAAACCAAAATATAAACAAAAACATTGAAAAATAATATTCATAGAAAATAAGATATGAAACAATATGTATCATATACACATCATACACACACAAAATTAACATAATGAATAATATACAACATGCATGCAAAAAACAAAACAATATACATGTAAAATAACAAACATAACTAGAAATGTTTTTGCAATACTGTGCAGATATACAAAGCAAAAAATAAAAAGATTTTTGCTCTTTCGTGGACAAATTTGTGATGCACTGATTGGTTCGTTCACGTCCAGGGAAAAAAATTGTGATGCACTGATTGGTTCGTTCACGTCCAGGGAAAAAAATTGTGATGCACTGATTGGTTCGTTCACGTCCAGGGAAAAAAATTGTGATGCACTGATTGGTTCGTTCATGTCCAGGGAAAAAATTTGTGATGCACTGATTGGTTCGTTCACGTCCAGGGAAAAAAACGTAAACAAAGTTTTCATTTACACGAAAACATAACAAAATCTGACAAAATCTGACCTAGTGTAACCTGATATGACCTGACATAACACGACTCTAGGTAACGTAACGTAACTTATATAAATCTAACGTAACCTGACCTAACGTAACGTAACTTACCTTAATCTAACCTAACCTAACGTAACGTAACTTATATAAATCTAACGTAACCTGGCCTAACGTAACGTAACTTATCTTAATCTAACCTAACCTAACCATTCGGTACAGATTAAGATCCATGTTAATTGGCCTTAGTTGGAAGAGGCTAAATGAAAACCAGCTTCTGGGGGGCTCTGAGGCTACCTCGTACATTAAGGTCATGGAAGAATTCTTACGCGTAGGAACACTCAAGTAAGAACACTCACGTTGAAGAACAGTCACATGTAAGATCACCAACATGTAAGAACACTCACATAGAAGAACAGTTATATAGTCATATGTAAGATCACTAACATGTAAGAACACTCACATAGAAGAACAGTCATACGTAAGAACATTCACATGTAAGAACACTCACATAGAAGAACAGTCATACGTAAGAACACTCACATGTAAGAACACTCACATGGAAGAATATGTAAGAACACATATGTAAGAACACTCACATGTAAGAACACTCATATGGAAGAACACTCACATGTAAGAACACTCATTTGAAAGAACAATATGTAAGAACACTCACATGTAAGAGCACTCACGTGTAAGAACATTCATATGTAAGAGCAGTCACACGTAAGAGCACAATTCAAGCATGAACATTGCACGCATATAAATTTAAACGCACACGCTAGCTAGCGAGGCGCTCGCGTTCTTACACACACACACACACACACACACACACACACACACACACACACACACACACACACACACACACACACATGATTCTGTACTAACCAGCAATCACTAACCCTGACGAAGGGTATAAGAGGTGAGACATCACCACAACATACGAGATACTCAGAAGTATTGAAAGGACTGACTTCAAGATATGTTTCAAAACCGGGTGTGGGAGATAGAAGGAACACAGATGACTCCGAGAAATCTCAGGTAACATTTCTACAGTGTTAGATTATTATTATTATTATTATTATTATTATTATTATTATTATTATTATTATTATTATTATTATTATTATTATCAATACTACTTCTACTACTGCATTCATGAGTAAGCACTAAATTCGTAGGGTTTATACTGCGCTCGGGAGAAGGGTACGGTATCAGGTTCAATCCTGGTTCGAAGAAGGCAGTTCCAACTCCTTGGATGAAGAACCCTTTACCAGCATGAAGAAAACCTTGAAACATCCACAGCCTGAGTGTAGGGAAGACATAGTGCAAATCAGGAATTATACTGATGGAGGATCGAGCCTTCATCTCTCCATTTCTTGTGTTTCCCACACGGGCGTTGCAATTAATTAAAATGAAAAGTAACAAATGAGAAGAGAATGCTGCCCGGTAGGTCCAAGAGCTAGAGTGAAACTCTTCAGGGGAGAGGGAGGGAAACAAACTATACCCCGGCCGGGATTGAACCCGCGGTCAGAGAGTCTCAAAACTCCAGCCCGTCGCGTTAGCGAGTCGAGAGGGAGGGAGTGTGTGTGTGTGTGTGTGTGTGTGTGTGTGTGTGTGTGTGTGTGTGTGTACTGAAGAAAAAACACGATTTTCAGAACAGTATTTCCTTGTAAACGTTTCACCCAGTGTATTGTTTTGTGTGTGTGGGTTTGGGTATAGATGTGGGTATGAGTGTGGGTGTCGGTATCTGGTTATCGGTGTGAATGTGTAGATGTGAAGGTGTGGGTGTGAAGGTAAGATAAGATTTGTTCGGATTTTTACCCCTGGGGAGGGTTAGCCAACCAGGATAACCCGGGGGGAAGGTTAGCCACCCTGGATAA